CATTTTCATGGATCAGTGATCAAGGTTAAAGTTACGTGATTAGGTCCGTTTCTCAGATACTATAAGCAGTAGGTCAACTATATGTGGTGTATGGAATGACTGTAAGGGATTGATGTCAGTCTGGCAGGTATCATCTGACCTTGACCTCATTTTCATGGTTCATTGGTCAATGAAATGTTTTTATTGTGTTTTGGTATGTTTTTCCCCTCTTTTTTGTTTGACAATTAATGCTTTTGATGGGAACATATGGTCTGAACCCCCTTTCTTTTTATATGACTTGCATGTGCTGGAACCCCGCCCTTTTAAAAATGGCTGGATCCGCACCTGAAGTTAATGTGATACTTGTAGTAAAACCTTTATCTTTAATACTTTCAACATAAAATCAATGGTAAGTAAAGCAGGCTAGACATTTCAGGGTGTGCACTCTTGTTTTTATACGACCGCAAAAATTTTTGCAGTCGTATATTGGTATGACGTTGGCGTCGTCGTCGTCGTCAGGCGTCGTCCGGCGTCGTCCGAAGACACATTGGTTTTCGCACTCTAACTTTAGTTTAAATGAATGGATCTCTATGAAATTTTACCATAAGGTTCAATACTACAAAAGGAAGGTTGGGACTGATTTTGGGGGTTATGGTACCAACAGTTAAGGAATTAGGGGCCAAAAATAAGCATTTTTGTAACTTCCAGACATAACTTGTGTGTTAGTTTATGGATCTCTCTGACATTGTACCACACAAGGTTCCATATCACAAAGGGAATGCTGGGATTGACTTTGGGAGTAATTGCCTCAAAGTATTAGGAATTAGGGGCCAAAAAAGGGGCAAAAAACAAGCATTTTTCTAGTTTCATGACAATAACTTGTGTGAAAGTGTATGGATCTTTCTGAAATTGTACTACAAGGTTCCATATCACAAAGGGAAAGCTGGAATTGAGTTTGGGGGTAATTGCCCAAAACGTTTAGGAATAAGGGGCCAAAAAGGGGCCAAAAAACACATTTTTCTAGTTTCCAGACAATAACTTGTGTTCAAGTGTATGGATCTCTCTGAAATTGTACCACAAGGTTCCATATCACACAGGGAATGCTGGGATTGATTTTGGGGGTAATTGCCTCAAAATTTTAGGAATTAGGGGCCAAAAAAGGGGCCAAAAACAAGCATTTTTCTAGTTTCATGACAATAACTTGTGTGTAAGTGTTTGGATATTTCTGAAATTGTACTACAAGGTTCCATATCACAAAGGGAAAGCTGGAATTGAGTTTGGGGGTAATTGCCCTAAACGTTTAGGAATTGGGGGCCAAAAAGGGGCCAAAAAACACATTTTTCTAGTTTCCAGACAATAACTTGTGTTCAAGTGTATGGATCTCTCTGAAATTGTACTGCAAGGTACCATACCACAAAGGGAAGGCTGGGATTGAGTTTGGGGGTGATGAATCATAAAGGGGTTCAAAAAATTTGGAGGGGGGGGGGGGGTTTGCCTTTTTTTTTCTTTTTTTTCCTTTTTTTTTCCTTTTAAAATTTTCCATTTTAAGTTGGTTATTTCTGATTTATATTTAAAAGCAAATAATAATGATATGGTAGGAGATACACACCAAACAGGATGTGTAAATTATTATATAATAAGTATTGTGCAATAGCAAGAAATTTTCAATTGCACAGTATTGCACAATAGCAAGAAATCTTCAATTGCACAGTATTGCGCAATAGCAAGAAATCTTCAATTGCACAGTATTGCGCAATAGCAAGAAATATCCAATAGCACAATATTGCGCAATAGCAAGAAATTGTCAATTGTACAGTATTGCGCAATAGCAAGAAATATTCAATTGCACAGTATTGTGCAAAAGAAGATACTTTTTATATAAATTGCTTATTTCTTGACCAATTTCAATGGGGTTTTATTCTTGAATTCTTGGGGTTCTTTAATATGCTGAATCTAACTGTGTATTAAGTTTTTGGATTTTGGGCCCCGTTTTTAAATTGGTCCACATTGAGGTCCAAAGGGTCCAAAATTAAACTTTGTTTGATTTCATCAAAAATTGAATTATTGGGGTTCTTTGATATGCTGAATCTAACTGTGTATTTAGATTCTTAATTTTTGGTTCCGTTTTCAAATTGGTCTACATTAAGGTCCAAAGGGTCCAAAATTTAACCAAAGTTTGATTTTAACAAAAATTGAATTCTTAGGGTTCTTTGATATGCTGAATCTAAACATGTATTTAGATTTTTGATTATTGGCCCAGTTTTCAAGTTGGTCCAAATCGGGGTCCAAAATTAAACTTTGTTTGATTTCAACAAAATTGAATATATGGGGTTCTTTGATATGCTGAATCTAACCATGTATTTAGATTTTTTATTTTTGGGCCCCGTTATCAACTTTGTCCACATTGAGGTCAAAAGGGTCCAAAATTAAACTTTGTTTGATTTCATCAAAAATTGAATTCTTGGGGTTCTTTGATATGCTGAATCTAACCATGTATTTAGATTTTGGATATTGGACCATAATAGGTGAATGTCACATTTTAAAATTTTTAAGTTCTTAGACCACATTCATTCTGTGTCAGAAACCTATGCTGTGTCAAATATTTAATCACAATCCAAATTCAGAGCTGTATCAAGCTTGAATGTTGTGTCCATACTTGCCCCAACTGTTCAGGGTGCGACCTCTGCGGTCGTATCAAGCTGCGCCCTGCGGAGCATTTTATTAGTTTATGACACAATAAAGTTAGCAGTACATCTCTTTTTCTTTTCTTATTTGACTTCAATAAAAAGTCAGTGGCATACTACTTGTAACCCTTGTCTGTTCATCTCCTTGTAGGATCAATTGCTTATCTGCCAACTTTTCCTTTGTGTCTTCAAATAAGACTCATTCCGTCTTGGATCAGTGATCAAGGTTAAGTTTTTGTGATCAAGTTTGTATTTCAGATACTATAAGCAAAAAGTTAAATACATTCAGTGTGTTTGGAATGATTGTTAGGTGTTTCATCTGACCTTTACCTCATTTTCATGCTTAATCGGTTTATACGAACAATAAAATTTTTTTGTGTCATATAATGCTATGGTGTCGTCGTCATCTGCGTCGGCATCGTCCGAAGACACATTTGGTTCCTGGACAATAACTTTAGCTTAAGTGAATGGATCTCTAAGAAATTTTACCAAAAGGTTCAATACCACAAAAGGAAGGTTGGGATTGATTTTGGGGGTTATGGTACCAACAGTTAAGGAATTAGAGGCCAAAAAGGGGCCAAAAACAAGCATTTTTGTAGTTTCCAGGCAATAACTTGTGTGTTAGTGTATAGATCTCTCTAAAATTGTACTACAAGGTTCCATACCACAAAGGGAAGGCTGGGAGTAATTTGGGGGTAATTACTCCAAGGGGGAGGGGGTTCAAAAAGTTTGGGGTTTTTTTTTTTTCAATATTTTTTGGGGGTTCATATTTTTTCTTCTTCCAAATTTGTGAAATTTCAAATGATTGCACAGTATTGTGCAAAAGCAAAAAATCTTCAATTGCACAGTATTGTGCAATAGCAAGAAATCTTCAATTGCACAGTATTGTGCAAAAGTACAGTATTGTGCAATAGTAAGAAATCTTCAATTGCACAGTAATGCACAATAGCACAGTATTGAGCAATAGCAAGAAATCTTCAATTGCACAGTATTGTTCAATTGTAAGAAATCTTCAATTGCACAGTAATGCACCTTAGCACAGTATTGCACAATAGCACAGTATTGAGCAATAGCAAGAAATCTTCAATTGGCCAGTATTGCGCAATAGCAGAGTATTGCGCAACAACACAGTATTGCGCAATAGCAAGAAATCTTCAATTGCACAGTATTGCGCAATAGCAAGAAATCTTCAATTGAAAATAAATACAAATGTTTAAACCAATTTCAATAGGATTAATTTAAAGTCTTTAATTTTTGGGGGTTCTAACCTTGTATTACTTTTTTGGATATTGGGCCCCATTTTTAAATTGGTCTACATTGAGGTCAAAAGGGTCCAAAATTCAACTTTGTTTGATTTCATCAAAAACTGAATTGCGGCTGTATGATATGCTGAATCTTATTGTGCATTTAGATTTTTTATTTTGGGCCCTGTTTTCAAATTAGTCCATATTAAGGTTTGAAGGGTCTAAAATTAAACTTTGTTTGATTTCAACTAAAATTTAATTTTTGGTATTTCTTTATATGCTGAATCGAACCATGTTGTTAGATTTTGGATATCAGACCATTCTAGGTAAATTAAATGTCCCATTTCAAATTTTTAAGATCTTTGACCACATTTATTTTGTGTCAGAAACCTATATTATGTCAAAAATTTGATCACAATCCAAATTCAGACAGTATCAAGCTTGAATATTGTGTCCAAACTTGCCCCAACTGTTCAGGGTTAGACCTCTGCGGTCGTATCTGGCTGTGCTCAGCGAAGCATTTTATTGAGTTTTGATCTGTTTCTCAGATACTATAAGCAATAAATCAGCTGTATTTGTGGTATGGAATGTGTGCACATGTCTGTCTGTCAGCTTTCATCTGACCATGACCTTTTTTTCATTGGTTATTGTTAAAAAAAAATTCCAGTTTGATCTATTTCTCAGATACTATGAGCAATAAGCTTACTATATTTGGTGTATTGTATGTTTGTTAGGTTTACATGTCTGTCTGGTTGGGGTCATCTGACCTTGATCTCATTTTCATTGATAATGTTAAGTTTATGTGATACTTGTAGTAAAACCTTCATTATACAGACTTTCAACATATATTAAACCATGATAAGTAAAGCAGGTGATATATTTCAGCATGCACACTCTTGTTTATATAAAAAAAAAATACAAACATTTTTAACATTCTGTTTTGATTTTTAAAGGAATTTTTAAAAGTTCAATTTTTGTTTGTTTAAAGAAAGTGCTTTTTGACTGGAAGAGATAATATAAAAAGTCACAGATGCTAATTCTGATTTGGCATTTGCTACAAGGAAAAGGTTGACATTAGTTTGAAATATTTCAGGTTTAGATTTAGAGGCAATCAGTACACATGCAGAAGGCATTTTTGATGGGAGGTAAGTCTTTTATTTCTGCTTCGTCTGGTTAAAAAGATTTATGACATGCAGGAATATAAATTATTTTGTCAGATTTTTGTATTATCTACATGTTTTTTAGTCCATATTCAAGGTCTATAACATCTTCAACATTTTGATGAACTGTTTCCAATACTTTATGTATAAATAAAAGTAGAATAGGAGTATTTATAATAGCACCAGACAATACCTAAAGAAAAAGATATTAAAAATTAAATACATTGTTCTCATTTGATTGATTGGGTTTTAATGCCACTTTCAGCAGTTTTTTTCTACATCGTGACAGTCAGTTTTTATGGTGGAGGAAGCTGCAGTGCCCAATGAGAACCACAGACCTTAGGCAAGAAAAGCTGACAATCCTAGTCAATTAAGATTGGAGCACCTGCCACAAACTCATAACCTCAGTGTTGACATATGGTCTTCAGCAAAAGACACGTGTCTATACAATATGTCATGTATATGATATATTGTTTAACTAAAATATCCAACCCTTTAGAAAAGGCAAATGTTGAAAACAAAAAATCTAAAAACAAATGCCGAAATTTGATAAAAAATTTTAGATGAGAGATAGACTATACATTGTATTTGTTTTTAGGAAAATATAGTCATTGTACAACAAAATATTCTAAAATCAAACTCTATGAATTGTTTTATTGTATTTTAGTGCAGAAACCCAGGATCTGGATTTAGATGGCCAAGGAGGAAAGATGTTTCTAAGAGTTTTGTTGAACTTGGTTATGCATAATTATCCAACTTTAGTGTCTGGGGCATTGCAACTGTTATTTAGACATTTTAGCCAAAGGCAAGAAGTTTTACAAGCATTTAAACAGGTAACTGTTTGAGCCAAAAAATTCTTGATTGATATTTGTCGAGACTGCAACATTTATGTCATGAAAGCAAAACATAACGTGGGCGGCAGCGGCCACATTTATATTTAGTCTGTGGTTAAAGTTTTTTTGACATCAAGAACTTTGTGAAACCTTTATGAAATTTGGACAGAAGCTTTTTATGATCTAAAGACAGTATCCATAGAAAAAAATTGAAAATATTAATTTTCATTTTTCCGTATTTTAGTGATGAATAGACTTAGTTTTTTGTCTCACCTGTTGCAGTATGCAAGACATAGAGAAAACTATCCAGTGGCGGCGTAAACTATTTGTTTAAAGCTTTATATTTCAGAAGGTAGAAGACCTGGATGCTTCATACCTTGTATGCAAATAACTTATGTTACAAAGTTTCTGTCTGTCATATGTCCATTGTCCTTGACCTCATTTTCATGGTTCAGCGACTGCTTTAAAAAAAAAAGTTTTTTTGTCATTTGAATTTCTCACTTAAAATGAGTAATAGGATATAAACTATATTTGGAATATGGGTTCCTCATAATGTCTACATATTTGTCAAACAGATTTCACTTGACCTCGACCTCATTTGTGTATGGAATGATTCTAAGGGGTACTTTTCAGTGTGGCAGAGTTTTATCTGACCTTGACCTGTACTAACAACAAAATTATTATATTTAAATTTACCTGTACGTTATTTTGTTTAACGCCATTTTGTCCAAGGTTATAGTTGTCTTTTTGACATTGTGTCATAGATCAAATTTATTCGTTCAGTGTATGTTTACTTGTTTTTGTTAATATGTCTTTTTGATTGAGTTGAGTCATTTCAATTGATATTTTATAGTGTGACTTTCTATGTTGTAATGTTACACTACTATTTCAGGTTAGGGTGAAGGTTGGCGCCTGTTAAAACGTTTAAACCCTGCTGCATTTGTTTGCACCTGTCCTAAGTCAGGAACCTGTTTCAGTGGTTGTTGTTTATTGATGTGGTTCTTAAGTGTTTCTCGTTTTTATACGCCCGTTTACGAGAAGTATTATGGGTTAACCGTTGACCGTCTGTCCGTTCGTCCGTCTGTCGTCAACATGTCGGACATTAACTCAAAAAAGCTTTAACCAATATGCATGAAACGTTGATGAATTGTTTATATCTATTGACGTGAGCTCCCTTTTGTTTTTTTATAAATTTCAGATTTACCGTTTCTGAGTTTTGGGGTTTTATTCATTAAAAAAGGGGGATTTTCCAGTTTTCTGACAACAATTCAAGAATGCTTTCACCAACTTGCAAGAAATTTTGGTGAATTGTTTATACCTATTGACATGAGCTCCCTTTTGGATTTTTATAAATTTTAGATTTTACGTTTCCGAGTTACAGGGTTTTATTCATAAAAAAAGGGTGAATTTCCAGTTTTCGGACAATAACTCAAAAATGCTTTCAGCAGTTCTCATGAAACTTTGGTGAATTGTTAATATCTGTTGATGTAAGCTCCCTTTAGAATTTTATAAATTTTAGATTCTACATTTCTGAGTTATGGGGTTTTATTCATTAAAAAAGTGGGGATTTTCCAGTTTTTGGACAATAACTCAAAAATGCTTTCAGCAGTTCTCATGAAACTTTGGTGAATTATTTATAGCTTTTGATGTAATCTCCCTATTGATTTTCATAAATTTCAAATATGACATTGAGAAGAAATTGAACTTTATTTGTTTATAGTCTGACAACAGATTTACTAAGTATTGCGCAACAGCAAAATTAGGGGCCAAAAAAGGGCCCAAATAAGCATTTTTCTAGTTTCCAGACAATAACTTGTGGAATGGTGTATGAATCTCTCTGAAATTATACCACAAGTTTCCATACCACAAAGGGATGGTTAGGATTGACTTTGGGGGGTTATGGCTCAAATGGTTTAGGAATTAGGGGCAAAAAAGGGGGAAAAACAAGGGTTTCCTGGTTAATGGACAATTTAAAAGCCGTGTAAGGGAGGTAATCCAAATACATTTAAGGTATTAAAAAAAAAATTGGATTACCTCCCTTACATTGCTTTTAAATTATGTATAAAGATGTTGTATTGTCTTGAGGTGATTAGCTGTCAATTAATTTTTAGAAGTTACTATTAAAGGAATATTAATTTTAGCCATGATTATGTATGTCATTTTCTATTTTAAGACTTTTATGATGTATTTAAATTGGTAATTATGGTTGCAAACTCCATTGAAAATTTGAATTGAGATTATGACCATATCTTGAGGGAAAGAATTTTTTTTGGGAAAAAGGGGGGAGGTGGAAAAAAAAATTGGGGGGGGGGGCAATTTTTTCTCATTTCAGATTTCAGAAATTAAAAAAAAAATTTCTTCAAATATTTTTTTTTTTTCAAAAATAAAGAGGGGGGAGGGGTCAATACGCAACAGCATGGTGTATTGCACAAAAGCAAAAAGTTGAATATCAATTCAAATCATATAACTAATTCTAAGTTCTTTGACTACAGTTATTCTGTGTCAGAAACCTATTATGTGTCAAATATTTAATTACAATCCAAATTCAGTCCTGTATCAAGCACGAATATTGTGTCCATTTTTGCCCCAACTGTTCAGGGTAGGACCTCTGCAGTCGTATCCAGCTGTGCTCAGCGAATTATTTTCAGTATGGTCTATTTCTCAGATATTATAAGCAATGGGTCAATTATATTTGGTGTATGGAATAATTGTAAGGTGAACATTTCTATCTGGCAGGTTTCATATGACCTTGACCTCATTTTCATGGTTCATTGGTCGTTTGGATAGTGCACTGTCTTTTGGACACTATTATTCCTGCTGTCCATATTTCATTACAAAAGATTAATTCAAACAATGGTTAAATTATCAGTGTGCGAATTTTAAATTCTGTAACTTAAGAGTCGGTGATGTTTCCACCTGTTGAATTTTTTTGTTTGCAACAACTGTGTTTCATTTATATAGAGATTTAGCTTTGTGAGTGACAGTACAAGTTTTGAATAAATATTTTTATTCTGTTTAGGTTGAGTCTTGAGATATATCTTCTTGTCTAACTATTTTGAAAGCCAAAGAAGAAGAGGAAAACCTGAGTTTTTATCGATTTAAGAGCAATATACGATATTAATCCCATTGAGTCATTTTTTGGTATTTTGATATTTTAATTCTCATGTCATCTTTATTTAAGGTTCAGCTTCTGGTAACCAGCAGTGATGTGGAAAATTACAAACAAATTAAAACAGATTTAGATGAATTAAGAAATTTAGTGGAAAAATCAGAACTTTGGGTGTATAAGGTTAAACAACCTAGTGAACAGAAGAGTAAAAAACAATCTGATGATACAGAAAGCAAGGTATTGTTGTTATATTTAGATATGTTAACTATTGCAATCACTCAACATGTGTCATCATTATTGTGGTAAACTTTTAGAAACAAAATGCTCAGAATGTCAAGATCTACCAATTTCCTGTTTTCCACAAATTGAAAGACTACTCATTTTTATGTTTCGAAGTTTAGTGTGTCGTCCATTTTGCTGAACTAGTATACATTAATGCTTTGGGGCCAGCTGAAGCCCACTTTTGTGTGCGGGATTTTTTGCTGCATTGAAGACCTATTTGTGGCCTTTGGCTGTTTTCTGCTTTTTGGTTGGATTGCTGTCACTTTGACACATTCCCCGATGACATTCTGTATTCTACTTGTAGGAGTTGTTGCCATTCAATGACAATTTTACTTTGTGTATTTGGCAATTATCTTAAAAAACTATCAGAGATAAGAGATAAAACCAAGTTCTACAAATAGTCAACATGACCCAAATTGTCTATTGCCTCATAGGAGTTATTGCCCTTGAATAACATGTTAAACCTTCTGGTTTTTATGCCCCCTCCGTAGCGGAGGGGGCATTAAGTTTTACCCTTGTCCTTCTACGTATGTATGTACGTACGTCCCAAAATTGGTTTCCGTTCTCTAACTTTAGTTTGCCTCAACCAAATGTTATGAAACTTATACACAATGCTTATTACCACAAAACACATATCAAGTTCGAATTTTGGTGGGGTCACTTTTACTGTTCTAGAGTTATGCCCCTTTACAAATGGAAAAATTGCAGAATTTTTTCGTTTCTGTTCTCTAACTTAAGTTTGCCTCAACTAAATGTTATGAAACTTATAAAAAATGCTTATTACCACAAAACTCAGATCAAGTACAAATTTGGGTAGCATCACTTTTACAGTTCTTGAGTTATTTCCCTTTATAATGTTATATGCCAGCGTCCCATGGACACATTCCCCATTTATTTTGGTCATTTTAGCTATAATAGATAGGAAGATACTGGAAACAATAAAAATGATCCACCAAAAAAGATCTACAAATTCTATTTACAGATTTGACCCAAATTCTCATATTTGATTTATAACATATTAAAGAAAAATCTTTATCCAAATTTCTAAAAGTCCAAAAGAAACAATTAACAATTGCAATAAAATGTATCAGCATTTTGTGCATATTTTAAACTAGACACGATTTATATATCCTTTGAGAGGACCTCCGAAGACTGCCAATTGTTGCATAACCCGATATAAACATAAATATAAATGTAAATAAATAAATATAGCACATCATCAATGTTTGGAATAGTGAAGAAAACTGTTTACAAAATTTAAATGTCAGCAGAACATGTGTTGCAAGGCTTTATGACCAAAAATGAGGGCCTAATTTGATTACAGTGTTCCGAATAAATTTATGGTTAGGAAAGCTCAACAGACAGATGCTAGGTTCTTCAAATTGCCCCCATACAAATCAACTTTCCTGCAACATGTACTTATATATGCTGCAGACCAGTATTCATACTTCTTCACATATAGCACAGCCCCAACAAAGGTGTCGTTTAGACTTCAGCTGGGAGGAAAGCCCATCTTTTTCAAGGGCAAATTTCCTCGGAATAAATTGCAAGATTTACTGTGTACCTGCAAAGGTTGTGTTTGCTTTGAACAAAACCTGATTTGCATCAAACTTTGTCTGTGTCAAGATTATGAGGTTAACCTTGGTTAACAATGATTTTTTCTTTGGGTTAAAAACCAGTCTGTTGACTTATTTCAGAGGCGAAATGATAGAGTGATAGTGACACAATATTTATAAAGTATCTGAAAGAAAGCCTTTAAGGAATAATTATAATGATATAAACTACATTTTAGCAAATTATTAAAAGAATTTCTATCAATCTTTATTTAGACCCCTGACCTAACTTTAGGTGAAAATAAATATCAAAATGGCATCATTTGCCAGGTGAGCAATTCAGGCTCTTAGGAGCCTTTACTTTTCTTTTATTTTTATACGACCGCAAACAAATTTTGGGGTCGTATATTGCTGTCAGCATCGTCGTCATCCAAAGACATTTGGTTTCCGGACAATAAATTTAGTTTTAGTGTATGGATCTCTATGAAATTTAACCAAAAGGTTTAGGAATTAGGGGCCAAAAAGGGGCCCAAAACAAGAATTTTTCTGGTTTCAGGACAATAACTTGTGTATAAGTATTTTGATTGCTCACAAGGTACAATACCACAAGTAGAAGGTTGGGATTCATTTTGGGGGTAATTGCCCAAACTGTTCAGGAATAAGGGGCCAAAAAGGGTCTAAAACAAGCATTTTTCTAGTTTTCAGACAATAACTTGTGTTTAAGTGTATGGATGTCTCTTAAATTGTACCACATTTTACAAAAAGAAAATGTCTTCTATTGTTATTTTTTTGGAGAGGGGGAGGGGGGTAACAAAATTTTGGGGGTGGGGGGGGGGGGGTCATTTTTTTTTCCCTCAAAATTTAAGAAATTGTCAATTTTCCAAAAAAAAATTTGGGTTCACAATTTATTTTGCTAATTCTTTGTATATAGTCTGAAAACAGATTTACTAAGTATTGCGCAACAGCACAGTGTATTGAACAACAGCAAGAAATCTTCAATTGAATTTAAATTCAAATCATATAACCAATTTCAAGTTCTTTGACTACATTTATTCTGTGTCAGAAACCTATAATGTGTCAAATATTTAATTACAATCCAAATTCAGACCTATATCAAGCTTGAATATTGTGTCCATTTTTGCCCCAACTGTTCAGGGTTGGACCTCTGCAGTCGTATCCAGCTGCGCTCGGCGAAGCAGTTTATTTTATTGTTTTATGGTTATAATATATTTTGGTTGCTCATACATGCAATTATCTATTCTTGCATTAAGGATGTTCTGCTTCTGAAATTCAGAATAAAGCTTTTTCATAGATGGAGTTTTTTTTATTAGATAATGTGTTTGACATCAAATTTATGGATAAATAAAGACCCATGTGTTTGTTTATTATACCCCCGCTTTAAAAAAGTGGGGGTATACTGTTTTACCTCTGTCTGTCCATCCATCCATCCATCCGTCAGTCCGTCCATCCTTCCCATGAAAATTTTTCGTCTCATCTTTCTCAGGAACTACATTACAAGGATTTCTGAAATTTGGTTTCAGGGGTTATATGAGTCAGCTATAGCGTGTGATGCGTTTTCAGATTCATCACTTAACAATTTCCTGTTTACCGAACACTTATATCATTTTACACATGACATCCAAGTTGAAAATTTTCGTCACATTTTTCTCAGGAACTACATTACAAGGATTTCTGAAATTTGGTTTCAGTGTTTATATAAGTCAGCTATACCCTGTGATGCATTTTCAGATTCATCACTCAACAACTTCCTGTTTATCGTCAAGTATTTGGGCTGGGGGTATCATCAGTGAGCAGTAGCTCGCAGTTTCACTTGTTACATAGGCATTTGGAAAAAAATATTTGGCAAGAAATTGAATTTGCTAGATTTTTCATTCTAAATGTATGTAGAGAAATGAATTTGTAAAACTGAAGAAAAACAAATAACAATCTTATAGAATATTTTATTGACAGTGTAACTGTAAATGATTTTCTAAACATATTTAGGGCTATTCCATTAAAATGTATGTGGAAGGGACTTTAAAAAAATCCCAATAACCAAGAACCATTTTTTAGATAATTTTGCATAATGGTAACAGACGCATACTGAAAAAAGACCCATGACCCACATTCAATAATTAAACTTCCCTTCCTACCCTCCCACATACATTTTAATGGAATAGCCCTTAGGGGTTACTGGTAAAAATGCATTGGGTAGCAAAAATCTAGTGTGGATACAAAATTTGAAAGCAGATAAAATGTGATAAGCATATATCTTTTGTGCAATTGAAGGATCTTTTTAGCATGTGATTGCTGCCATGACTATTTAGCCAAGTTGAAAATGTAGTCCATATAAAAAATAAGAAGATGTGATATAATTGCTAATGAGACAACTCTCCACAATAGACCAAATGACACAAAAATTAAAAACTATAGGTCACCATACGGCCTTCAACAATGAGCAAAACCCATACCGCATAGTCAGCTATAAAAAACCCTGGACTGACAAATGTAAAACAATTCAAGCGAGAAAAATAACAGCCTAATTTATGTACAAAATAATGAACGGAAAACAAATATGATACACAGAAACAAACGACAACCACTGAATTACAGGCTCCTGACTTGGGGCCGAGATAAAACGATATTGTACTGGTTTTTTGTGTAGTTTAGGTAAAATGTTGCCCTTAAAGTCAATTTTTCAACAATTTTTGGTAAATTTTTGTATTCATTTACAAAAATCTTCTCCTCTGAAACAACTGAGACAAATTTAACCAAACTTGGCCACAATCATCATTAGGGTATCTAGTTTTAAAAATGTGTCAGATGACCCAGCCTACCAACCAACATGGCTGACATGGCTAAAAATAGAACATAGGGGTAAAATGCAGTTTTTATACGACCGCAAAATCGTATATTGGTATGACATTGGGGTCGTCGTCTGAAGACACATTGGTTTTCGCACAATAACTTTAGTTTAAGTGAATGGATCTCTATGAAATTTTACCATAAGGTTCAATACCACAAAAGGAAGGTTGGGACTTATTTTGGGGGTTATGGTACCAACAGTTAAGGAATTAGGGGCCAAAAAGGGGCCAAAAATAAGTATTTTTGTAACTTCCAGACAATAACTTGTGTGTTAGTTTATGGATCTCTCTGACATTGTACCACAAGGTTCCATATCACAAAGGGAATGCTGGGATTGATTTTGGGGGTAATTGCCTCAAAATTTTAGAAATTAGGGGACAAAAAAGGGGTAAAAAACAACATTTTTCTAGTTTTATGACAATAACTTGTGTGTAAGTGTATGGATCTTTCTGAAATTGTACTACAAGGTTCCATATCACAAAGGGAAAGCTGGAATTGAGTTTGGGGGTAATTGCCCAAAACGTTTAGGAATAAGGG